GTTCTAACTCATTTCCTAACCGAAAGAGAGGGTTGAGCAACTGGCACCATGTTGATGCTTTATTCTTGGGGAATCATTGATAGGTTTTCGTGTTTGTTCCGTGTTTCAGAGAAAAATATTTACGAGGATTAAACCGTCAGGCGTTACCCTGTTAGGTCCCCTTTATCCGGTATGCCTCAGAATATGCCATTAGATCGGCCACGGACGCCCACCTCGGCTTAACTTTTTCCGTTTTTAGCACATCTGCTCGATTCGTTTTTGTCATTTCGTAGAACAGATGGACGACACTTGATTGTACTTGATGTGCTTTGTAATATTGGAAATACGTGCAAATCACTTAACGGAAACGAATTACCAGGCCTCTAAGGAGATAAGTACTTCAAGATTTGAGGTTACAGGAGAAAGTATTCCGAGAAAATTCATACAAATTATTCATACATTTGCTTTGTGAAAAAACCATTACTTGGAGAACTAAACCTCAGAGCACTGAGGATTCTAATTATTCGATGGGAGAGAGCCAGACATGGATGCAGATTACTCCCATGAGAAGGAGAGGTTAGGGTGAGTACTGGTAGCAGAGGATCCATGATGCCCTGCCCGGAAAAGATCTGGTCCATGGGCATGAATGTTGGTGTTAGTGGTACTTCCATCGAAGGATAGAAGGCATCCTGCTTGCTCACCTTCCATTCCTAGACCGTTGTTGTAATGCAAATTTGGGATCAAGGACTGTTGTCGGTCAGACTGCACCATGGGGCTCAAACCAATCTCACAAGTATCAGCCGGTTGAGATGACAGAAGAGAGAGAGCACGATTCAAATTGGGGACTTGGTTTAACACGGTAGAGGACGTTTTCCGGCTGATGCCACCATTGCCTGGTGGGGAATTGGCATCAAGAAGGGGCTGGCAGGCAGAAACCGCAGAGAGAGTTGAACTGGTGTGTAAGAATGGGAACTGCTTTTCCGCTTTGTAATGGTGAGATGAGGATCCCGGAAACAGGTTATTTCTGCTGCCAAAGGTCAACTCTGAATGCATATTGGTTTCTGCTTTGATTGCTCCGACCCAAGGGGAGGATGGGGCCATAGATGAGAATATTTGGGGGCTACTGAATGGCAAAAATCTTGTGCCTGCAACATACGAACCTCATATATATTTTGACCACGGCAAATATATGTTCTATGTATGCAAATGCATTGAAGAGTATGCACACTAAATTTTGCTGAAATATGTCAATATTTTTTTGGATTGATAAGGAAATACTGATCACAAAGCAACGAAGAAATTTCAATTGAAAAGAACAAAATGGTATGGATATTCAAACCTGGGTGATTGGAAAGAGAATCTGGTTGTGGCTTCCTCCTACGCCGGTTATGTCCATCAAGACGTTTCCTGCAGCTTCTTTTACCCTCATCAAACTCCACCAGTGAATGAAACCTAATGAAACACATTCAAGAGAAACAAACTTTATATTTAATAGCTACAACTAAAACATTTACTTGACTTTATTGAAAAAAAGGAAAATCTTATACAATTTAAGGAAGCTGGAGGCCATTATTATCAATTTAGGGGAGGATTATGGAGATAGATTCAGCTGTTACACCAATTTTAAAAAGTCACTGATTTGTCTTCTACTTCCCTGCAATTAGGACTATCACATAATAGCCAAAGTACACGTTGAGTGGGAAAATCCCACATCGAGTGTATAACAAAGAACTACGTGGGTTTAAAATAAGAAGGACTACCAAGTTAATAATGGGCCCCATGTAAAGGAAAAATCCCACATCAAGTCTCTAACAAAGAAATGGCTTAAATATAAGGAGGGCCTTTCCATGTGTTTTAGCTTGGATGTACGCCTGCACAGTTTTCACACTCAAAACAGGGATATGTACACAAAAGTTAAACATTGTGGGTGCAAAATCACTTCTTGCAATCAATGACACAGACATAACACAAACAATCATGGCACATGCACAATTTTCACACACATGCACTCGAAACACAGATATGTACATAAAAGTGCATTGGTCAAGTTGAAATAAACATTTTGGACGCAGAATCACTTCTTGCAATCAGGGACACAGACATAACACAAACAATCATGCCACCAGAAATTTCCCAGCAAAGAAACCATTTCAAGCTCAAAAAGCCAACATAGCAATAACTAGCAAGGGACTACTAATACTAAATTTAAGAATGCAAAGCAAAACAACATTTTATTACTTACCTGCTGCATTGCTGGCAAAATCGTTGTTCCTGTCCCCTAATTGTAACCTTTGAGGTCTTAGAGTGAACCTCACATACTTTATGGCGTCGATGATAGTCCCTGCACTTGCTGAGGTCTGCAGTGCATCCATCGACCAAGCAGGAAGGTACTTGGTTCCCACTTCCAAGTGCTCGAGCCCTCTTCAATGAACTTGATGAGGACGGTTCCATCAAAGCAACCCTCTGACACCTAACTTTCTCCACCAAATCAACCAAACTCCAATGTCCAGGCCTTATGGAACGAAGACAATAACAAGCCTCTATGCACACCTGAGCCACAAGACCCAACAGCTGGGTTGCTCCAAGAATATTGTGATTCCTTTCTTCTACGGACCCTCTAGGCTCCAGCTAATTTATGATGTTTTCCCTAACTCTTAATCTCCATTTCCATGATCTCAATCAAAATCTTCACTCTAGTACATAGTCAATTATCAACTGATTCTTCAAAAATACTACATAACAATAACATAACAAAAATAAGAATCAGATAAACTAAGAATCCCAGGGGAAAAATCTATAAAACCGACTTCCTTATGTTCGACCTTTAGATTCAAAACTACAACACACTACCATATGTTAGATTTTGAGACTCAAATAGGTAACATGACCAAATTTCCCATATAAAAGAAAAACTTTGGCTTCCATGAACAATATACATGAGGGAAAAGCCAATATGAGGGGGAAATGCAGGTAAAAGGCTTAAACAGTCATTGCACTTCCTCAATAAAGTGCAACTTATTAGGCATTAAGAGGCCGATAGCTGTCACATCATAAGAGTCAGAATTCCATCCCAACTACTGAACCACAAGTAAACTAGCCTCAAAAATATTTTTGGAAGGCCAAGAAAAACAGACCCACAAATATTCACAGAAGGAAATGGAATCAAGTAGCTATTAATAACTATGATCATCTTCAGAATGGGTAACTCCATATTTCAACAAACTTAATGCATGTCATGATGTGAACCAAAACAAGTGCCCAATTGTTTCTTTTTAACTAACTTCCCAAAGTAAGAGAAAATTTTCAGATAGAACTTATTAGGGTAAAAGTGGTTACCACCGCTTTTGTCTACTGATAAAGGGGAAGAAAGAACATTTGGATCTTTCTTTCTTTACCAGTGACATGATTACCACTAGAACCAGAAGAAAGCTAAAGGAACAGAAAATTTATACACCAACTCCATATAATTCTGTAACTTGTATTGTTACTTCAACAGTCAGTCCAAATATAAAGAATTTAATAGGGAAAAGACCATAAAAGAGAGAGAGAGAGAGAGAGCTGCTGAAAATTATGGGTACCTGAAAAAATCCCAGAAACAAGCACTTAGCAAAAGCAAGAATTTGTTCCTTAGTAACTTGTGAAGCTGCCCAGTTGCAAAGAAACATAAACAAGAAGTGGGAGAACTTGGAAAAATTGAAGAATTTGAGAAGGAAAATAGAGAGGAAGAACTTGTAGACAAATTGCAGAGATTAAAATAAGGAGGAGACTTGGCTTGACTTCCTACCCACAATTTTCTGACAGGAAAAAGCCATCTATCCAGAAAAAGATTGGGATGGGCAAAGAGGGAGTTTTTATTTATTAGAAAAATTAATCAAAGAGGAAATTATTGGAAACAAAAACAGAAGAATGCATAATGTAGTCAACCATGGAGGAGAAAATGGAAAAGGAGATAACCATGGAGGGAAGGGATTGATCTTTCCCAAGTCTCTCCCTTCCTTTTTAGGCTTGGAGTCTTAAAAACTAGTGATAAAATATAAAATAATGGAAGAAGAGGAAGGAGTGGAGCAAAGAAAGAAATTAAAAAGAAATGAGTGGCAAGGAAAGGGACAGAGTGTTTTTTTTTTTTTTTTTAATATTTATTTTGTTGTTGTTGTGCCGACGGGACAGGGTGTTGTTGCTTTCCAACTTTTTAAGTGAAGAAAAAATTTTTTTTTTTAAAGTAAAAGTACAGAGTGTGAAAAAGAAAGAGTTTTCTTTTGGTGTTTCACATTCTATTCCATTATTGATGTTCCCAAACTTGGGTCTTTATCCCACGACATCGTCCCCAAGGTCCTGTGGATTTTATTTTATTTTTTATCTAGGATTTTGTAATATGAAATATTATTTTATAATTTAAATTGTATAATAAAATTTATTAAATAAAAAAGTGTTTAATATCAAAAAATAGAATTTATATTTAATAATTAATATAATATAATTTAAATTATACTACACTTTTTCATTAAAATATTAGCACGATATAATTTTTATATGGTGTTATATAATTTTTTTTTTTTTTTGACAAAGGTAATGGATAGGAAGCTAGTAGGGTTAGATGTTAGTAACTGGGATTTCTCAGATAAGTGAACATTCCACCCCCTCATACTCTCATATGAGGCATGCAATTATTAGGTCACAAGTTAGTGGAGTTTATGATGGTGGTAGGGTTTGAAACCCTGACCTCCACCTCATCCAAACTTTATGGCTTAAGGGCCAACCACTAGACCCCAAGCCCGGTTGGCGGTGTTATAAAATGTTAGGACAACTCAACATAATATAATACAGACCATCATATGAGGGAGATCTGGCACAATTATGACTATCAATAATAATATTATATCAATAATAATGTTATGGTTATTAAAATTATAAAATATTATCTTAAAAATATTAATTTTATTTAATTTAAGTGATAAAAATAAGTAATGTCTGTAACTAATAACTAATATCTAATAGAATAATTGATTTATTAATTTATAAATTAAAATCAATTAAAAAAATTAATATTTTGAGATATTATTTTTCTAAAAACCAAAGTTTTAATCATTTTAATAATATTAATAGTGACACATGAGAGACCTCTATTTTTTTTTTTAAAGTTAAATATGAGAGTCAAATTTAGTATTTATCAAATTTTATATAAAAAAAACTTTTATAATGAAAATGTGGTCACTAAACTACAAAAATATTCTTAAGAAGGACTTTTATTTTTTTTTAAATAAATTTACAAAGAATCAGATTCGAATCATTGTCCTAAAAAAAAAATACAGTTATATGTGACCCAAAGTCGTTGGACTGAAAAATCCAGGTGCAAAAGGACCTTTATTTATTTTTAAACATGTTTTGCAAAGTACGAGTTTTGAACCTTATCCAGGAAGAATGCACTGGTGGCTAATACCACTAACTCTCAAGGCCCAAGTGCGCAAAAGTACCTCTATTTTTTATTTTTACAATTGTGAGAGCAATGCATTTATGATTGATTAATTTAAGAATACGGACTTACAAACATTTAGGAGATCTTATTTATCATTTGGATTACTCTCACTAGTGAATCCTTATTTAATAAAGGTCTTTTCGTTTGATAGCTTATATTATTAAGTTTAAATTATATAATATTTTTATTTTTATATTATATTATAAGAGTTTGTTTTGTTTGAAGGAAATAAAGGGGATGGAATAAGAGAGAAATGGATGAATACTCAAAATGAAAGGATACAAATTTCTTTTCATTTCTCTCCCCTCCAATTATTTGACTAGATTAAAGGGGGAAAAAAAGGGTAAAAAAGGAAAAGGAAATAAAAGAACAAGGAAATAAAAGAACCTTCTCCCCTCCCTCCCTTTCATATCTAATTTCTTGTTATCTAAATAAAGGTATCAATATTCTATCCTCTTCCTTTTATTTCCCTTAAGCCAAAGGCCTTAGAGTAAAATTAATTTTTTTAATACAAAATAACTCTTTACAAGAATAAACGAGAATGAAATAATATTTAATGAGGTAAGTTAAGTGAGTTAGTAATAATTTTTTAAAAATAAAAATAAGAGTTATTGAATTCAAATTTTATATTATGCAAATTGAGTGAGTTAAGAGATAAAAAATTAAGAAATAATTGTTCTTCACCATATAATCTAAAATAAAAATAAAAACAAAACCAATGAAGGGAGGGGCGATATGAGGGCGTTTCCATTACTTAGGGAACGCCCATTCTGTCTTTTTTTTTTTGTCTTACCCCGCGTCAAGGGAATAAAGTCTTCCAACTTAATGGAAGATGAAATTTTACAATAAAAAACATTCTAAAGTAAACCCTATTTACTTTAATGTATGTCCGTCATACTAAAAAATAAATGAATTTGAATCTCAGTGTAAAAGGGTTGTGTTGCGTCTTTGGTTGTTGGTCTGCTTTGTTCCATTCCTAAAAGTATATTAATGTCATTTGGTAATTTTTTTCAAAAGTGATGTGTAATTATTAAATTATAAACATTAATTAAAATTTATTAATTAATATCTTAAAATTATGAAATAATCATTAGTAATGAGTGCTTTTTTTTTCTTTTTTTCTTTTTATTTTTTTTTTGAGATTAATAATGAGTGTTTTTGGTTGTATTTCGGTTTATAGTAAAGTATTATGATAGTGGGTTTTTTAGTATTTTATTATGAAAAAATTATATTATTATTTAAAAAATCTTATATATTAATAAGATTATGAAACTATACAAAATATTAATTAAAAATTAATTTAATTATAATAAATTAACATATTGTGTGAAAAAATACTATGGGAAAAAAGTAACCCATAACACTTTTTATAATTGCTTTGAAAGGACTTTTATATATTAATATAATCACAAGATTATATAAAATATCAATTAAAATTAATTTAATTACAATAAATTAAAACTTTTATAAGATATTATATGAAAAATTTTATAAAAAAAGCAACCTTAGACACAACCCTAAGTGTTCTCTTAACTATTGTTTAATTTGAGAAAAATAGAGAAAAGAGAGAAAAACCCTTTTAGTTTCCTCCCATTCCCCCTTTGGTTGGATAAAAATACAAATAATAATAATAATAAAGCAAAATAGAAAAAAAATTCATCCCTAATTCCCTCCATTTTTTTATATCTAAATAAAAAATTTTCTTTAAATTACCTTTTCTAAAATCGAATAGAGTACTAACGTTTTTTAACGTGACAGTGTCCTAGTTCTTGGGAAGGCATTTCCTGCCACTTTAGCAAAGTTTCTCTCTCAAATGTACTGTAATTACGGCAAAAGGTATTGTAAGCAACAATACCAAACTGTGGTTTCAACTCTTTAAAACTTTGTAATTTTGATTGACATAATGGTTAGCATATTTTTTAATTTAAATTTAAAACAAAAAAAATTTTAATTATTAGATTTAATAATTAAACTAATAAATATTGATAAATATATTAAATTAAAAAATATATCAATTATTCTGTTTATGATCAACCCAGGAAGAAGGCCATAGGAGAAGACGCCCTACCTGCCACAGTACCATTTGGCTTGAGAGACCAGGTAAAAACCAAGTTTTAACTTATGTAGATAATTTTTAAAATGATGCTTAAATTATACGTGAATTCAACCCTTTGAATGATTTATAACATTTATTTAATCCAGTGATGATTTTCTTCATATTTTTAAATCTCCTATGCCAGCGATGTGATGAGCCATGCGAAAAACACGTGTTTTTGAAATTCAACAATAATGTTGATTGATTTTCGAGTGGCGTGACTTATGAGGATCCTTTGCATGCATTAAGGAAATTCTAAACCTAATTTGCCTCGAGAATTTAGATCGCTTTTTTGTATGGAATTTTTAAGTCAAGGGGTAGGCGGAAATGTTCCTGTAACTAAAGAGGATATGTTTTCCTTTTAGGCTTTGCTTTATTTGGGGAATTATTAATCACCTTATGTACAACTGACACAAGGAAGCTTAAATTAAGATGTGAATATATAATTGTTTAATTAGTTAATCTATCGTGATGCTCATATTGTATCAATATTGACTCTTCTTCAGAAATAATTTAAAAGTTAAAAATTTAAATTTTCATATAAAAAGTCTTTAGCTTGAAGTCCAAAACAACAAATTAAGGTTTAGATAATTAACAAGTTTAATCTCTGCAAATTAGGGTTTAGATAATTAAGAGGTTTAACCTCTATTATTGCTACCTTAGGTAGGCACAAAAAGTGTATCAACATACTCACACCTTTTCTTTCTTCATGTTGGTGACCCAAAAGTCAAATCCCATATCTCTACTTTTAGAAATAACAATTGAGGTTACTCAGATCGGCACGAAAGGAAAAGGAAAAGCCAAGGGGAAAATCCTTGAGTTCCTTCTAAATTAAGCGAGCTTGATAGGCTTTGTTGAGAGTCTCTCAGTCCTGTTAAAATTGAGAAAGACTTAGATTGAAAATGTCCTATTGAGCTTTGTCAGGGAAATATCCTTACATACTCCTACACTATCACATAGGGCTTTGAGTCAGGCTTCTAGGCAAGTTGAAAACAACTAAGACTTACGAGAGAATATCCTTATATACTTCCTCTACGAGACTTAGCCTTATGCCTTTGTGAGTCTTAATTGTTTTCAACTTGGTTAAAAACCTAGCTCAAAGCCCTATGTAGTAATACATGAATACATAAGGATATGCCCTAAAAAAAGAAAGCATATCGACACCCTAAAATCTTTTCTTTCTCCCTCTCGGTGACCCAAAAGTCAAACCTCATATCTTTGCTTTTAGAAGTAACAATTGAGGTTTAGGAGATTGAATTATTAATTTATCAAGGCCTAAAATGGTCATTTACAAAAATTTCGACCAAAAATTATTTAACGCTTGCTTTTTGGTTGGGGGGGGGGGGGTTTGAGGGAAATAGAGGAGAGGGGACAATTATCCTTCTATTTCCCTTCTCTCCCTTCTCATTATTTGGTTAAATTAAAATACAAAAGAATTAAGTTCCTCTGTGTTCTGCGCAACCAAACCCTAGGTCCTCTCTTTCTTTTCCCCATAGCCCCCGCCTTCTTTTCTTCTACTTT